CCGGGGCGCGAGGAGACCCGCTCCGCTCAGCATCGGGCACGACGCCCACCTCTGTCTGAAGACTGCGGATGAGCGCCCTCTCCCCAACCGCGAAACGAGCGGTGCAGGCCCCCAGTCCCTCATCAGCAATTCCCAAAGTTCCCTGAAAGCCCACAGGTTTTTCGTAATCCGATTGGTGGCAAAATTGCGCTTGAACTGATGTGAGGCTGCTGATGGTCTTTATTTATCGCACTTGTGTAAATATTCATGTTTCGCTGCAGAAAAGGAAATGAGCTCGATGGTCTGCTGCTGCCCCAAGCCCTGCTGGGAGGTTATATAACCTATAGCAGGTGTGTGCCCCATATTATCTTTCCAAGTCCCAGCTGTTGCGTATTCCGAAGCGCATCTGGGCACAGAACGGGGGGTTGCTGGCCTGCCCCTGCTCAACCGCCTTGCCAGTCTCCCAGGATCCTGGGGTCAGCTGAGAGGGTGGATGTGAAAGTCAGGCGTCTGCTTCCCTTTCAGGGTGCTTCCAGCATTTCAGTTCCTTTTTTTAAAGAACTCTTGATGCGTTTGTTTCAGAAAGACGTCCGGTTAAGTGAGGTTGTTTTTCCCCCCTCTTCAGAGTCCAGTTGTGTTAATCCGGGAAATCGAAAATAGAGCACGTCTTACATCCTCAGAACACTCTGGGCGACCCTGACATTTTGAACTTTAGGAACTTTTCAGGGAGGGGCAGCTCGAGGGGAAAAAAGGATGCTCAGAACCGTTCTGCAATCTGCCACCGGCCGTGTGATGATCTAGAGGCAGTTCCCTTCCTCTCTCGGGGTCTCGGTTTGTTCTTCAGCCCAAAGGGAGGGGGTGGACAGATGACCTCTGAACCTTGGGAGCCCCTGATTTCTTTCGCTGTACCTGATGTCATTACTATGAACATTGATGCCCACCGTGTGCCAGGACTGAGTCTGGGATGCCCAGACGAAGGAGACACCCCTCCGCAGGCCCGCTGCTGGGTCTTCCCTCTGCCCCTCTGGTTACAATGCAAAGCTCAGGTTTTGAGACTAGGGAAAGGGGAACTGGACTCTGCTGGGTCACCTGCCAGCTGCTGACAGCCACTTACACGCGAGGACGCTCCCCCAGGCCCAGCGTCCTCTGGTGTAAGCACAATACTTAAGGATTAGGGTTGTGAGCCTTAAACGAGGTAAGGCTTCGAAGCGCTTGGCAGCAGCAGGGAGTCCACCCAGACTGGGTCGTCCTCGTTTGGCTTCCCTGGGTCTCCGCCGCCTTCCCTCGGGCTTCTGCAGCGGCAGCCCGCCGCCTTGTGGCCAGAGTGGAGAACGGCATCCGGCGGGCGGGGCTGGGCACCGCGGCGGGTTCCTGTCTCGCGCCCCTGCCAGCCGGCCAGGCAGCTTCTCTGGGATGGGTGGTTGGATCCCAGCGCTCTTCCCTCGCAGCACCCCTCCGTTTCCTGCGCAGGCTCCCGGTGGCGCACTTCCGGGCCTCTCCACATTCTCTGTCCTGGTGACGGTGGGAGGGTGCCTGCCCATCTGAACGGAGTCCCTGGAGGTGGGGGAATGGCCTTGCTCTTTGAACCTCGCATCTGGCCCAGGGTCTGGCTCAGACAGAGTGCACAGAGAGTGTGTGTTGAGGAGGTCAGAGGTGTGGCAGCCCTTTACCTATGAGCCAGGGCTCTATAGGTCAGCCCAAGGGCCAACACCCAAGGCCCCAGGACAAAAGAGGAAGGAGATTGCCCAGGTCCTGACATCTCCTGAGAAGACGGATCACCCCCGCTGCCAGAGCGCCTGCCTGGTGGCCCCTCTGCCCATCCTTCCTCCAGCTCCCAGCAGGTTCCCAGTTGCAGTGGCATCTGGGGGGAGGGGCACCGGTGATGGGGGTAGGGGACTTACCCAGGGGGGAGCTAGGACATTGGCCAGAGACAGGCAGCTCCCTGGCCCCGCTTGTGGCCCTAATTCACTGTGTGACCTCCACAAGTCACCTTGCATCTCTGGTCCTGTTTCCTTCCCTGTGCGATGGGTGCAATAAAACCACATTCCCTGCACGGAGCTTTATTCAAGAGGCAGCTGTGGGTCTCCCTGGTGCTCCACCCCCATCAAAGTCCAGGGTAGGGAGTTGCTCCTGCCCTCCAAGGGAACCCCACCCCTGCTCTTAGTTGTCCCAGGTGGCATTTACTCACCATGACCCTCCAGGCCCATTCACTTGTTCATTAGGCATGAACTAGCTAAATACCTGCCAAGCCCTGGTAAGCCTTTGGATCTAGAGAGGACTGAGGCACAGCCACGGTCCTAGGGGACTCACCCACTTGGATAGGAGGCCAGCAAGAGAAGACATGGGGCCGGGGCTCAGAGTGGAGCATGGGGTTGGGAGTGGGTACCCACCCGGGCAGGGCCTCATGGGCGCTTGCCAAGAATGTGCACATTATCCTGCAGCCGCTGTGAGGCTTTTAGCAGAGACAAGAGTGGGACTGAGAAAAAAATCCCTGTGGCCAGGGCTTCAAGCACGGCCGAAGCTCTTGGTGGTCTCGTGGGCATGTGGTGGTAACAGAGGTTTGGGAGGTGGATGGGCAGGGCCTGGGGGCCGAGGGAGGTGGGAGGGAAATCGGGTTGAGTTT